AGATACATCCTTCGCAAAATTGGTTGGGATGATTAATACTTGGAAATCCATTCACCATGTTTTCTTTATCCATCAACCTTAAGCTATCAAAATTCAAGTGACCAAATCTCATATGCCAAAGCCAAGAGGAGTCTTTGGCACATGAAAGTAAGCATCTTGGAGCATCATTTTGAAGATTTAAAATGAACATTTTATTATTAGCCATAGGAACTTTAGCCAATAATCTCCCTTTTTCATCTCTCATAAACAACTTTTTATCTTTCAAATGAATGTCATAATTTTCCTCCAAAAGTTGTCCCAAACTCAAAATGTTACTTTTCATCTCCGGCACATATAAAACATTAGAAATTAATTGATGACTTCCATCCTTCAAGCGAATTAAAACCGTACCTTTTCCTTTGATTTTAACACGTGAAGAATCTCCAAAAGTGATTGTGCCACGATTCAACTCTTCAAGTTCCACAAATAAATCCTTCTTTCCACAAATATGGCTACTTGCACCGGAATCAAGGTACCATCGGTGCTTCTCGGTACTTTCTTCTCCTTTGCATGCGAGGAGCAAGGTGGCATCTTCATCTTCATTTTTGCTCTCCACGAAATTATTTTTCTCTTCAAAGTTATCTTTACATTCCCAAGAAAAATGACCAAATTTATGACAAGTATAACATTCAATATTTGATTTGTCATACCTTCCTTGATTTTGCCTCCATCCTTTCCCTCTTCCACGACCTCTTCTTGAATTAAAGTCTTGGCCTTTATTTTCTCTACTTGAAGGTGGTTGACTACCTCATCTTCCGCCTCTACCACGACCTCTTCCATTTCCACGGCCTCTTTGTTGCGAGCCACGCCTTTCATCTTTCTCTTTGAAAGAAAATTTTGCTTGCAACGCTTGTTCAACCGATTCTTCTTTCGGTTTCTTCAACTTCTCTTCATGTGCTTGCAAGGAACTCGAAAGCTCGTCTATGGTCATGGTGTCCAAGTCTTTGGACTCTTCAATGGCAACAACAATAAAATCAAATTTTGAAATTAAGGATCGTAGTATTTTTGCCACGACCCTATCGTCTTTCAACTCTTCACCATATCTTTTCATTTGATTGACAATAGCCAAAACTCTCGAAATATAATCCACAACATATTCATTTTCCTTCATATGCAATGATTCAAACTCTCCTCTTAAGGTTTGGAGGCGAACTTTTTTCACTTTGTCCAAACCTTTAAAAGAAGTTTGAAGAATATCCCATGCTTCCTTGGAGGTTGTTGCATTTGCAACCTTCTCGAACATCTTGTCATCCAAACCTTGATGGATGAGAGTGAGTGCCTTTTGATCCTTCTTCTTTGAG